TGGATGCTTGTATGGTGCTGGTCACGTGACAGCTGGATATGGAAGTGTATGTACAGTTCCCGGCACAGTGCCTGGTATGGAGGATTGTATTTTATTTTTTATCAGAGCAGGAATATTTTTAAATATATATTATTGATTATGCTATTACAGTTGTCCCATTTTCCCCCCTTTATTCTCCTCTGCCTTGCACACTCCCTCCCACCCTCATTCACCCCCCCCTTTAGTTCATGTCCATGGGACATACATAAAAGTTCTTTGGCTTCTACATTTCCTGAACTATTTTTAACCTCCCCTTGTCTATTTTCTACCTACCATTTATGCTACCTGTTCTCTGTACCTTTTCCCCCTCTTCCTCCCCGCAATACCCTCCATGTGATCTTCATTTTTGTGATTCTGTTCCTCATTTAGTTGTTTGCTTTGTTTGGTTTTTTTGTTTGTTTGTTCGTTTTAGGTTCAGTTGTTAATAGGTGTGAGTTTGCTGTCATTTTAGTGTTCATATTTTTTATCTTTTTCTTACCTAAGTGCCTATAACATTTCATATAATAAGGGCTTAGTGACGATGAACTCCTTTTACTTGACATTATCTGGGAAGCACTTTATCTGCCCTTCCATTCTAAGTGACAGCTTTGCTGCATTGAGTAATCTTGGATGTAGATTCTTGCCTTTCATGACTTTAAATATTTCTTTCCAGCCCCTTGTTTGTAAGGTTTCTTTTGAGAAATCAGCTGAGAGTCTAATGGGAACTCTTATAGGTAATTGTCTCCTTTTCTCTTGCTGTTTTTAAGATTCTCTCCTTATCTTTAATCTTGGCTAATGTAATTATGATGTGCCTTGGTGTGTTCCTCCTTGGGTCTAACTTCTTTGGGACTCTCTGAGCTTCCTGGACTTTCTGAAATTTTTTTTGTCAGATTGGGGACGTTCTTCTTCATTATTTGTTCAAATAAGTTTTCAATTTCTCTGTCTTCCTCTTCTCCTTCTGGCGCCCCTATGGTTCAGATGTTGGAACATTTAAAGATGTCCTGGAGGTTCCTAAGCCTCTCCTCATTTTTTGAATTCCTGTTTCTACATTCTTTTCTGGTTGAATATTTCTTTCTTCCTTCTGCTCCAAACCGTTGATTTGTGTCCTTATTTCCTGCCCATCATTGTTGGTTCCCTATAGATTTTTTTAAAATTTCACATAATTTGAACTTTATTTCTTCCTGGGTCTTTTTTATGCTGTTGAAGTTCCCATTGAATTCCTGGAGTGTCCTTATCACCAGCATTTTGAACTCTGCATCTGATAGGTTGGCTATCTCTTAATCACTTAGTTGTATTTTTTCCTGGAGCTTTGATCTGTTCTTTCATTTGCCCCCCCCCCTCTTTTTTTTTGTCTTGGCCTGCCTGTTATGTAGTAAGGGTTGGAGCCTTGCATGTTCCCCAGAGCAGGGTAACCCACGTCCCAGCGTTCTGATGCTGTGTGTCAGAACAACGCCGCTTGCTCCCCTTCTGCTGGTTTTCAGTCACTTCCCCTGGCTACCCTCAAGCAAATTGGGCCCTTCTGGTGCTGATTCCAGGTGGGTGGGTTTGTGTAGGTTCTAGAACCTTGTGGGTCTCGCCAATGAGCTCTCCTGTGAGGCTGGGAGTTTCTCCCGCTCCCTCAGCCCCCACAGGTGTTTTCAATCAGAGGTTTGAGGCTTTATTTCCCCGTGCTGGAACCCTGGGTTGCGTAGTCTGCCTCAATTCCCAGTTGTTCCTCCCGGTTTATCTGCATGGGCATGTGGGACCCCCAGTCTTCCAGTTGCCCCTTTGCCCAGAGTCCTCTACCCGGCTGCCTGTGTCCACCCCTCCTACAGGTCTGGATGAATGGTTCTTTAACTCCTTGGTTGTCAGACTTCCATGCCGTTCAATTTTCTGTCAGTTCTGGTGGGTTTTTTTGCTTTTAAATTTGTTGTTGTCCTTGTTTCGGTTGTGCAAGGAGGCACAGTGTGTCTACCTACACCTCCATCTTGGTCCAGGATTTTAATTAGTACTTTGTTCCTTAAATTAAAAAAAAAATTTAATTTCTTTTGGTATGGAACAGTCGAAAAAAATTTAAAGGTTTTCTTTCATTGTCTTGCTTTAGATTGTTCCTAGAATTAGAATCACTGGTTTAAAAGTTATGACAATATTCTCCTAGTCTATCATACGGTTTTATGAAAAAACGTAATTTGTGGTATATGGTAGGTATAGCCCATATAGAACAGTAAGAGCAGGAAAGGTAGATGATAGGTCTCCCTCGGGCTTTGACAGGTCACTGTAGGGTAGTGAAAAGGGTATTAGGTTTTGAGGTTAGCACATGAATTTGAACTGTGGCCCGTGCCAGGTCAGCATGGTGATTTGGGGTCTGGTTGTACACTCGGAATTTCACTGTATCTGTAAAGTGGGGAAAATAATAAGCACGTCATAGTCATATGGATTTAATAAGCACGTGATAGTCATGGATTAAATGAACCTGCAGGAAACAGCCCGTGGTCTCCTCCGTTCCTCCGTAGCTTCTGGCAGAACGCTGTTTATTTACAGGCACCCAGCAAATAAATATTCAGTGGGTGAATAAGTGTAATTGTTTTAGGGGTGGAAGATACTGCAAATTAACCATGAAAAAAATACAATGCAAACTTGATCATCACCTTCACCTGGAAATATTCCAGAAGAGTCTATGGTGGGTATGTGGTGGAATGGAGGGACGTGATAGGTCACTGGGTTTTATTTAATTGTGTTGAATTAGAATTTGCATTTGTCTGATTGGTGGAATATACCTGGTTCTTGAAGAAAGACCCTCCTCATTTGCCTTTTCTTTCTGGCTCAGCATCCTGTTCACTGGCCCCCTTGCCTCACTGACTGACTGCCTTCCCCTCTGCTGAGTTCTAATGCTGGCATTTTCATCTTTTTGGTGAAAATTAATCAACCCAGCACCCGTTATCTGTTACGTCAGACGCACAGATCTCCTGCCACACTCTTCTCATAGAGGTGTTAATAATTTACCATCACTGAATTACCATTTTGCTTCAGTTTTTAAAATAAACTTCACAGACCAGATCAAGCCCTTAAATCTTCTCACCCTTCCCAGAGGTGTCTAAAGGTGGTAGGTATCATACTATTGTATGATTTAATCCTTTATATGTACGTATATACATGAACATCCTATGGTAGTGGTTCGTGAGCATTTCCAACTTAAAAATTGGTCCTATACTGTATCCTTCTGCAACAGGCTGTTTTACCTGACATTGTCTTTGAGATTTAGCCAGGTAGATCGAATTCATTCGTTTTCATTGTTCTTTCATGGGGGAAAGCTGAACGGTTTGTTCATTCATCCGCTAAAGGTTAGGTCATTTCTAATCTTCTGCTGTCTGCAGGCATGTTCAGCTCATAGGCCAGTGTGAGTTTCTCTGGCCAGAAACAAAACAGTCTTGACGCAGTCCCTGCCCACTTGCTCTTGAGGGTATGTCTAGTTACACTCTTGTCCACATTTTAGAGTCTTCCCTGAGCCGCCCTTCTGCACCTTAAGAAATTTGACCTCTATAGCTATTGTGTGGGAATGAAATGGTACTTCATTGTAATATTGACTTGAACCTCTTGCTTACTAGTGATATTAAGCATCTGCTCTTGCTCACGCTCTTTTTTTTTTTTTTTTTTTTGCCATCAGGCTTTTTAAAAATCTGTTAGACCTTTCTATTGGTTTGTTCTGCATATTACTGTTGTTATATCTACTGCAAATACCTTCTCACATTTCCACTTTATTTTTGTCATACAGATGATTGGATATTAATGTGTCAAAGTCATCAGTGTTCTCCCTTTTAAGGACTGTGTTTTTTGTGTGTAACGCTTTACAAAGTTGATTAAGCTTCTAGATCTAACCTCCAAATTTCAAGAAATACAGAGGATGAAGATAGATAAAAAGATGGGGGGCAGTTAGCAAAGTTTAGGGCACAGGAAACTGACAGTTGAACTGGTTTCTTCAGCACATTTCAAGGAAGAAAAAGGAACATTGGAGGGGGCACACCCATAAATTTAGAAATATTTAATATTCAGTATGGAACGCCTTTATATCTGATGTAACCTGGTTCAAAGTATGAAACAGTTGGAGATAAGCAAAGAAATATAAAACCTGAATATTTGATGTCAATGGATTATAAAGGTGACAGTGGTTATGTTTTTTAAAAGTTTACTATTTTAGAAACAGACATTTAAATGTTTAATAATGAAACCATATAATATTGATACTTGCTGCAGAAATTCCTGCAGGGTAGTGGGTGCGAATGAAACCCAACTGATCCTGAGTTGATTAATTGTTGAGCGTGGCTGATGGGTACCTGGGGCTTCAGTACACGGCCCCCTCTGGCTTTATGTAGGTATGAAGCTTTCCATTAAAAATACAGTAAAAGAAATACATTAGAACCAGAGACACAGAAACTTGGAACAGACTGACAGTGACCAGAGGAGCGAGGAGCAGGGGATGTTGGTGGAAAGAAGGGATAAATATGTGTCAAAGAACATGTATAAATGACCTGTGGACGTGGACATCTGTGGGGATTGACTTTCGGAGTAAAGGGTAGGCTGGGCCGAGGACGGCAAAGGGAAAAAAATGAGACAACTGGAATTGAATAACAAAAAGTGAAAATATTCAAGGCCTTCTAAGAAATGAACTTTCACTTGATTTTCTTTAGTAATTTATAGATTGCTATTTTTGAGACTATCTAAAACTGTTCTGAGACTGTAACATAGAGTATTTTCAAGTTTAGCCTCTAAAATATTTTACGACAGATTTCAGATCAAATCTTGGTCACTAACAATGCCTTTTTTCTCTTTGATTTAAGGGAAAAGAGTTTGAACTTTTGAGAAACAAGGCTTTCCTTTAAAACGGGCAGCACATGGAATTACTTGATCAACTGAAAGTTGTTTTTTTTTTTTTTTTTACAGCCAAATCCTTTTTCCTTGGTGCCTCTCCTGGTGCATAATCAATTTTCTCTTTGGTTCGCTTCCAGATAACCTTTTTCATGCTGCTCTCCGCAGTGTGCGTGATGCTGAATTTGGCTGGCTCCATCCTGTCCTGTCAGAACGCTCAGCTCGTCAGCTCCCTAGAAGGCTGTCAGCTGGTGAGTAACGAAACGCAAACCTTTTTGACAAAGGTCATACATAGGCTTTGATTTTGCATGAAGGTGATTTTAAACATCATTTGATTGTGTCCTTGGATTTATTCTGATAGTTCACGGTTGTTTAGGGAATTAAAGTTGACTCCTTTCTAAAAATCCTCGCAAATGAACACTGGTACGACTTTTGTAAATCGGTTATTAGAATATTTCTAAGGATCACAGTGTAGTGCTGTTGTAGAAGGAATCTGTTTAGTAACGATTTTATTTTAGCATTTGTTGCATTGATTTTTCTCTCCTGGATTTTTAAAAATCAGTTTTGTAAGTCAATTTTAAGTGCCAATATACTAATGTGTGTGTGTGTGTGTGTGTGTGTATATATATATATATATATATATATATATATATGATAAGTGCTTCAAAACAATTTTGGTCTCAATTTCAATTTAAAAAGAGAATTAGCTTTTAGATCTAGGAAAGTTGTAGACAGCGTGCTATGTACATTGTAGGGGATCATCAAACTGTTGCATAGAATCATCATTCCATACCATAACTTAGCTCCTGGTACTACGTAATTTGTGCATCCGGCTGGGGCAGAGATTGACGTATGTCTGGCCGCATTTGGTAAGGGTCCGGTGGACTGACTGCTGAGTATGGGGACATGAGCATTGTTTCTTTATATTGGAGATGACACAGGGCTACCTTTCAGAGCCGTGCTTTTCCTCCCCAGCCGCTCATGAACTTGCTCAGCCTGTGGCTCTCATTTCTGAGAGGTCAGGGGCTGTACTGATTCCACCGAAGCTTTTCTGTAGCCAGAAAAGAGGGCAGACCTCCATTTCTCGGGGCCATGCTGTTTGGGTCCAGACGGGCAGCTACAGCTTCGACATCCCATACCCGCCAAGGCCAGCGAGGCTGGTGTAAGTTGGCCCAGTTTCAGTGCTGAAACACCTACAAGTTCCAAAAATGAACCACGAGAGTTTCATCTTGTTATTTGCTGTTCAGTATGGCCTGGACCACACTGACCAGATTGCATCCCAACACGATGGACACAGAGTAGCCCCGGCGTGTACAGTACATGCCCCAGACTACGAAGAATCCTCACAGCCTGGAGCCCCATCTCTATCAGAAAGGGTGACTTGCTGACTTGTACCCACAACTTAATCAGCTTCTTACTTCCTAAACACTAAATGCTGTAAACATGGTAAACTCTGGCCACCTCCATGGGATTGGACATTTTCTCTGACCCTCTGTTTCCAGTGCAAGGCCTTGTGTGGGGGAGGCAGAGTGACTGGGGAGAAGAATCAACAAGCCTGCGGGTCCAGACCCCAAAGAAAGTCCCGCGCCCAGTCTGGAAAGGCTCTCTCCTCCTGGTCTTAACCTCAGGCCTTGCTTCCCTGTTCCCTGTTCTGCATGAAAGGGTAGGAAAGGAGCAATTTATGTATATAGTTTTATATTTATGTATAAATATAAATATGCACCATTTCTAATTTTTCTTCTGTGAATTGACTGGGACCTGTACCCACTTTGAGATTTCACTATTTATCTCACTGATTTGTAAGAGTTCTTCATTTATTATGGCTCTGAGTCTGGCAGCTTATGTCGCTTACATACGTGTCCTGAATTGTTATTTGTTTTTTAATTTTATTTTTTTGGCCTATGCTCTAGTTTCTCTTCAGATCGTGTAACTCTTTCACCTTTTTGACTTAGAAAATTTTTAATTTCTGTGTATTCAAACCTACGAATGTTTTTCTTTGTGGGCTTACCTTGGAACCAATCACCAGACCCCCTCTTTCCCAAGATCACGTGACCTCAGGAATCTCCCCCTGTCATGTGCACCTCTTCATACAGTCCATGTTCTGGAATTCATTTGATGGCTGTAAGTTCCCCCCGACACACACAGGAAGTGGGTAACTAGCTTTCCTAAAACTATTTCCCGAGTAACCCAGCAGTTCTCTGATGGTTTGAAATGCCACCTGAATCATTAAGAATTGTTCTTCAGTGACAAGGTACAATAACAAACAACTCCAGAAGCCCTTCCTTGGAAGGACCGTGGGCCTACAGGGTATCCAAGGGCTAGTGGTTAAGCTCGGAAGCCATGGGTGTGAGGCCTGAGCCCAGGAGGTCTCCTGCACTCCTGCGGCAGGAGTCCCGACCTCACCAGTGCGCAGGTCTGGAGCAGTGCAACGTCATCCCAGCCGTCCTCCACCTCTTTGTTCTGCTCTGTCGTCAGCAGCCAGAGAGGCAGCGTTTTGATTGGCCAGGACCAGAAAGACTCAGCTCCTCTGTCCCAGCAATGGGACCCAAGAAGTAATTCTCATACAAAAAGTTATGGGAGACAGGGAGCAGGAAATGTGTGCTGGGCGGTCACAGTCTGGCCAGCGTCTGCTCTCATGGCATTATCATACGTGCTCACAGGCACATGCACACAGATAGGCCTGACCGTCTCTTTCTGGACTGCTGAGTGATGAAGGAGGGCTCGGGGCGCTCGCTCTGAGCACGTGACATAGGTTCTCTCACTCCCGAGGACTGTGTCTCGGAGACAGGCCGACTGTTATCCCCCCTTTACAGGTGAGGAAGCTGAGACCTTGAGGGTCCATGACTTTTCCAAAGTTGCTGGGCTGGTAGGTCCTGGCATCAAGTTGCACCCTGTGTTCTTTACCCTCCATTAATCGTGGAGTTTTTGTTTTACATGACATTTTAACTTTAGAATGATACTAACAATTAAAAGAGAAGGAGAGGGCCCTGGCCGGTGTGACTCAGCAGGAGCGTCATCCTGTAAACCGAAAGGTTGCAGGTTCGATTCCCGGTCAGGGAATGTACCTGCGTTGTGGGTTCAGCCCTGGTCAGGGCACGTGGAGGAGGCAACCCATCCATGTTTCTCTCCCCCTCTCTCTCCCTCCCTTCCCTTCTCTCTAAAATCAACACACCTGGCCTCAGGTGAGGATAAAGGAAAAGGAGAGAGGGAGAGAGGGCAGATGGAGGAGAACCTTGGACAGTAGAGGTAAAGACTATATCCTGCTCGTTTTTGGTTCAAGTACATCTTTGAATAGCCCTCCCGAAATAGAGGATTGTGGGTAACCTGATCCATGGCTTTGATGTCGCAACAAAAGGAGGTGAACACAGTAGGCTGTTTACTGAGAAACGTGAGCTCTTCCGTCCAGCCACATCAGGCACGTCACCGGAGAAATGTCTTCCATGAAGTATGTATGAACGTGGCTTGCATCGAGGGTCCCCACGCGCACACCAGTGTTTTCCTGACCCTAAGTCCTTTCCCATGAGCACGGCATTTCCCCACAGAGACAGCGCGGTTCATCCGAGTCAGCTGGACCGCCCATCTGGCCTTGACCTTGCTGCACCTGTGATCTGAACACCAATCGCTCATCTCTCTAGTCCCTGCCCAGACTGTGTGTTATGTACCCGTGTCCCCCAGAACGAAAAACGGGTGGCCTCAGGGGACCTGTCACATGGGCAGGCAGTTTGGAGGAGAGCAGATGCCCACCCACTACTGCCTTGCCCAAGGTCCTCCTCTGATTGGAGAGCTTCGCCTGCTTTTCTCCCTGGTGCGCGCCCCCCAAGCACAGCACACGGTGTCTGGGAGGTGAGGCCAGCGTGCGCCTCTTGTCCTAAAAGCAGCCGTCCACAGGTGCAGGAGGACGGTGATAAAGAAAAGCGTTTGGTAGCAAAGGAAGAAGGGTTGATGCACTAGGGAGTTATAATTCCCACCTTCTCCATTTTTCCACGCTCCCCTGGGCTGGTGATTCTTCCAGGATTCACTTCCCCGCCGCGGTTGCCACAGCCTCCCTGAAGCAGGAATTGCCGGGCCGTGGGATCTGCTTGTAGCCATGGTGAAAAAGGAATTGTAGAAATTACAGTTAAATACATTATATTAAAAACAAAGGTAATGTAGAATTAGAACTCAGTACCTCTTTCTTTAAAAATACATTTTATTTTTCTGATCTTGAAGTTGTTTACATCTGTTGTATCCTTATATACAGTATAAGGTGTTATATTAGCCAGGGTTCTCCAGAAAAACAACTACATATTTGTGTATGTGTATATACATATGTATTATGTACACACACACACATATACACATAGACATACACAGAGAGAGATTGATTTATTATAAACATGAGCTTTACTATATATATAAAGAAATTCATGTGAGGAGTTGGCTCACGTGACAGTGGCAGCTGAGAAGTCCCCTGGCCTGCCATTTGCAAGTTGGGGACCCAGGACAGCCGCTGGCCTCACTTAGTCTGAGCCTGAGGGCTGGGGCAGGGCCCGGGGCAGATGCCATGGCCCATCCCAACAGGGAGGCAGGAAATTCGGGGTGAATTCCTCCTTCCTTCACCTTAGTTCCATCCGGGCCCCCAGGGGATTGGACGCTGCCGCCACCTTGGGGAGGGCTGTCCCTGTTACTGAGTCCACTGACTGAAATGCCAAAGCCACCCACAAACACCCTCCCAGACACACCTAGAAACTGTGGAATCCGCGCACCTGTGGCCAGTCTGCTGAAATGGAAAACTTGGGGGAGACACTTGTAGATTCACCCAAAGTTGTTGGAAGTAGTTGTTTCCACCCCAGCGGAAACAATATCACAGCCACAACATTGACCTTGGTACGACCAACTCGTACGACTAAGCCGCATTGCCCCAAGTTTACTTGATGCGTCTGCCTGTGTGAGAGCGTGTGTGCTAAGTTTTGGGCACTTTTCTCACCTGCGCAGGTTCAAGTGTGCACCACTGAGCCGAAGGTCTGAACCGTGTCAGTACCACAGGCCCCCGCCTGCTGATCCCCTTAGCACCTCACTCTCCTTCCTTCCGCCCTGACCTCAGCTCCCTGCAACCACGAATCTGTGCACCATTTCCAGAACGTTGTTGTTTCCGAAGAGTTATGCAAATGGAATAGTGCAGTCCACAGCCATTTGGAATTGCCTTTTCCATTCAGCCTCATTCCTAGAGATCCTTCCAAGTTGCTGTGCTATCAGTCTTTTCCTTGTTGGG